TGGACACCATTTTAACTAAATGATCAAATTTATCACATGCTTCCTGATGTGGTACACTGAGAAAGACACAGTGTCATCTATACAGTACTTCTGCCAAAATTATTTAATATGATCCTTATTGCAAACACAGTCAGACAAATCCATATGAGGGACATTCTGCAGAACAACTGACCGGGATTTTTGAAAAATATTAAAATCATGAAAGATTTCTTTTTCTTTTTCTTTCTTTCTCTCTCTCTCTTTCTTTCTTTTCTCCCTTCCTTCCTTCCTTCCTTCCTTTCCTTCCTTCCTTTAATGGGAAACTGATTTCTCTTTATTTAGGCCTTAGGAAGACAATTAAATTTGGTCACATATTACTTTTTAAAAAATCTAGTTTCAGGAGTTCCCTGGTGGTCTAGTGGTTAGGATTCTGGGCTTTCACTGCCATGGCCTAGGTTCAATCCCTGTTCTGGGAACTGAGATTCCACAAGCTGCGTGGCGTGGCCAAAAAAAAAGAAAAAAATCTAGTTTTACACAGATAGGACCAAAGTATCAGAGAAATAATTTCTTCTGTAAAAACTGGCCAAACTTTATAAAAAATCTAACATACAATGTAATTCAAATTATATAAAGACTGCTTGGGATCATAACAGTCTGAATGTATGACAGTTGCAATTCCATTCTAACAGGTGTGAAAATATTTGCTCTCCTGTGGCTTTGGTCCAAAAGAGGTGAGCTGAATCTGCAAGAATAAACTAAGTACCTGTGGACGAAGAATGTCGTATTAGTAAACAAAGGATGTTACAGCCATCAAGCCCTCAGCTTGATGCAGCCACCACCAACTGTGCATTCTGAGGGGATTCAAAGGAGAAAAATAGGATACTGGCCCAAAGAATTCATGTGCATATGAAAGGAAGGATTTCAATGAGCCCAGACTCTTACATCTTCCAATACATAGAAAAGTCCTATATTCATTAACTTGAGATGTCTGGTTTTTCTTTAATTAACAGTAATCGTTTGATGTTCTGACAACCTGGTTTTTGCCCATATATCCTGGCTCCTCCCTTACCTCTTCAGAGCAGTCCCTCAGAGCTATCTGAGAAGGCTGTCTTCCGGGCTTAAGTCCTCAGCAAGTCTACTGAATAAAATGCAATTTTCAACTTTTGTGTTGTGCATTTCTTTTCAGTCGACATACCTAGTCTTTTGCCAACATTAGTTTAGATTGCTATTGGTAGCAGAAATGTCCATGATGACTATTTCTCCTATAACAAAGTAAAATAAAAGAATTTCTTCTGGGCTTCCCTGGTGGCGCAGTGGTTGAGAGTCCGCCTTCCGATGCAGGGTGCACAGGTTTGTGCCCCGGTCCGGGAAGATCCCACATGCCGCGGAGCGGCTGGGTCCGTGAGCCATGGCCGCTGAGCCTGCGCGTCCGGAGCCTGTGCTCCTCAACAAGAGAGGCCACCACGGTGAGAGGCCCACGTACCGGAAAACAACAAAACAAAACAAACAAACAAAAAAAGAATTTCTTCTTTTGGCCATGCCGTGCGGCTTGTGGGATTCCCCGACCAGGGATCGAACCTGGGCCACAGGAGTGAGAGCACAGAGTTCTAACCACTGGACTGCCAGGGAATTTCCAATTAAAGAATAGTTATCACGAACACATCACAGTATCAGATCAACTTTTTATAACAGAAAAGTATGAAGGAACAAAAAAAGATTAAGCAGCTACCACAAACAAAAAAATAGTGTCTCCCCCATAACTCTATTTGAAGGGGCAGAAAGTGCGATTAGAGGTTTATTGATGCTAATATGAAAAGAAATTCAGTATTGTATTTATTTCTTATTTTATACAACTCTTACTCTTTATAACAATGTTTATAGTCACACCCATAAAAGTACGACCCATGGCATCCAAAAGCAAACACTCTGTAATTATTTAAAAGGGCCTTTAAAAAAAGTGTAATACTGGGTTTCCCTGGTGGCGCAGTGGTTAAGAATCCGCCTGCCAAGGCAAGGAACAGGGGTTCGAGCTCTGGTCCGGAAGATCCCACATGCCGTGGAGCAACTAAGCCCGTGCACCACAACTACTGAGTCTGCGCTCTAGAGCCCGAGAGCCACAACTACAGAAGCCTGCGCACCTAGAGCTTGTGCTCTGCAACAAGAGAAGCCACCGCGATAAGAAGCCCGCGCACCACAGCCAAGAGTAGCCCCCGCTCGCCGCGACCAGAGAAAGCCCGCGCGCAGCAAGGAAGACCCAACACAGCCAAAAATAAAATAAATAAAATAAAAATAAATAAATTTATTTAAAAAAATTCAACTGAGAAAATTCTAAAAATCTTATTGGCTTTATTCAACAATTTATGAATCAGGACACGTCCAATCTAGCAGCTAGGAAGGCGCTCTGAGGAGCTGTACAAAACGATGGGCTTCCCTGGTGGCGCAGTGGTTGAGAATCTGCCTGCTAATGCAGGGGACACGGGTTCGAGTCCTGGTCTGGGAGCATCCCACATGCCGCGGAGAAACTAGGCCCGTGAGCCACAACTACTGAGCCTGCCTGCGCGTCTGGAGCCTGTGCTACGCAGCAAGAGAGGCCGCGATAGTGAGAGGCCCGCGCACCGCGATGAAGAGTGGCCTCCGCTTGCCACAACGAGAGAAAGCCCTCGCACAGAAACGAAGACGCAACACAGCAAAAATTAATTAATTAATTTTAAAAAAATGAAAGCCTTTTATAGATAGCAGGGAACAGGAACAAGGAATTAAACTAGGCAAAAAGCAGATTGGCTATTACCAGGTTACTTCGCTTTAGGGAATGGCAGGGGGGTCTAGAGGTAGATGACATAACTAGATAACTAGTGCCGAGCAAGCGATTCCTTTTTTATTTTCTTTTTTTGGCGGCACCACATGGCATGTGGGATCCTAGTTCCCCAGCCAGGATCGAACCCAGGCCCCCTGCCTTGGAAGCACGGAGTCTTATCCACTGGACCACCAGGGAAGTCCCAGGTGTTTCCTGATTGACTTTTTTAAGATTCCACTTCTGGGAGAGCCACAACTGTAATTAAGTCTCCCTTTGGTGATGTGGGGCTTAGCATAAGCAACTCCATTTTGGGCCTGTTGTGTTTTTAACATCACTCTAAAAGAGCTTTACTCTCAACTTTGAAGCACTTATTTCAGCAATTCTCTGATGGACTCTGTGAAAGCAATTATCTAAATTTTCTGAACTTGTATCTGAATCTTCTATTGAATCCTCACAACCACTCTATGAGGTTGGTAAGAAACTGGGGCTCATAGAGATTATTAATTACCCAGGGTCATGCTGTCAGAAGCAGTGCGTCCGGGATTCGAATTTAAGTTTTACTCGGGGCCCATACTTTAAACACTCCGGCTATTTTGTTTTATCTCTGTCCGCAATAGTCTGACCACAGATAAATGTACAAATCGAGTTTACTGAGGACTGCATTAATTTCTTACAGAAAATACTGTGTTCTCTTACAAGATGTTTCCCAGACCGTGAACAACTCAGGAACAGTAATTGGTAGCTGGAGGAACTCACTGATTTGGTTTGTCGAATGCCGTCAGTTAAGAAGGGAACGTACGACTCCAGTCCCTAAGGGGCGCTGTCTTCGCCCAACGACCAGCGAGACCCGCAGCCTTACAAGAAAACGTTTGTGGGTGGCCTCGGCTCTGGAAGACGCAGGCGGAGTCCCCGCCCCACTCTGGGCGCACGCGCATGCGCCCGCCGGGCCCCGCCCCATGCCACTCAGCTCCCACCTCCGCTCAGGTAGGGGGCAGTGTGCGGGGGAGAGGCGTCGCCTGGGGGCGGGGCTGGAGCGGGAGTCTCAAGTGTTGCGGCTCCTTTGTTGGAGGCCCAACTTCCAATCCAACCGGGAGCAGTTTCTGAGGCTGCCGGTTCTGGGGTGGAGGCAATTGCTGGGTCCGGGAGCAGCACGCTCCCTCTCCTTTATGTCGCACGAGTCCTGGGGTCTCCCCTGCACTTGGGCCCCCGTCCATTCCCAGCCGGAGTCGGGTGTCCTGGGTAGCTTGAGGACACGGGGCTGTGCAGGCGCCGAGAGCCCGCAGCCTCGCTCCCTCCTCCCCCTTCTTGCCGCTTGGCCCCACCCCTCCTGGCCGAGCCACACTCGGCGCCGGAAGCGAGGGGCCTCCGGGGCTTACGTGTGGCACCTGCTCCGCTTGCGCCCACGCCTTCTGCTCCAATTGCTTTCCCAACCGAGCGGCAAAGCCGGGGGCGTGTTGCCGGGGCCCTGGGAAGCGGGGTGCATGGGCACTGTGCCTGGAGTCCGTCGCTGCGCCTTCCCGCCCACGGGGCGTCCGGTCACGGTCCTTGAAGCCCCAGCCTGCCAGACCGGAACCCATACTGACGTCAAGGGTAAAGGCGACCAGAGGCATCTGAGTGGCACAACCAGGACCCCTGCCCCTAGTGGGGCTTTCGGTGTGCAACCGAAAGTGGGTCCTGAGCAGGGAACTTCCTTCCCCTGCCCCTTGCTTACAGTTCTGCAACTGTCAATAAACAGTTACACCCTACCGTGTGCTAAGCATCAGGAGTTACAGGGCTTGAGGTCAGCTCTGGAAGACTTGAAAGTGAGGTTGTTGGGGGTAGGTGTCTGATTGAGTGTGTGTGTGCGTGTGCGTGTGTAGAAACTAACCCAGAACCTAGTGCAGTGCCTCTCAACCAGTAAGCCCTAATAAACCTTCGCGGAATGAATGAGAAGGTAGGTGGATGAGGGAGCCGGGCTAGAGAGGGCAGCTCTTCTCATCCCAACCCTGCCTCCCCTGAGCACAAGCCGACAAAAATAATTAGGTTAAGCCTTTAATCACAGCTGGTTTCACGGGCAGGAGGACAGGGAAGAGCCGCGAAAGACAGCAATCCTGGGGACACAGGGTGCTGGCCTGGCTCGTGGACACTGCCTCCCTCTCGGACGCCTTCCAGGCCCCCACAGCTTGGGCGTCGTCAGTAATCTCCTGTTTTCTTGTCTCCCTCAGGACACCGGGTTCCCTAGGAGCCGCCCCAGGCTTAATGATTGTCCAGAAGGTGCCTATAAAGGGAGCCTGGGAGGCTGGGTGGAGGAGGGAGCAGAAAAAGCCCAACTCAGCAGATCTGAGCACTTGAGAGCCTCAATCAGGAGCCGTGGTCAGAGGCTCTGTGTCCCAGCAGTAGGGCCTGCTGTGTCCCGCCATGGCGGCCCGAGGCTACGGCTATCACCGCGCCGTGATCTTCTCGGCCATGTTCGGAGGCTACGGCCTCTACTACTTCAACCGCAAGACCTTCTCTTTCGTCATGCCGGCGCTGCTGGAGGACGTCCCTCTGGACAAGGATGACTTGGGTGAGCCCTGGCAGGGCGGGGGGGGGGGGGC